CTTGATGCATCTCATCTTCAACATAGCGAGCAATCAATGTGTTCAGCTCTGCCCGGTTTACCGGCTGCACTGCAGTCCGTGTAAAGTGGAGCCTTGGTTGTTTGCGTGGAGCGGCGCCTGCAGCATCCGCGGGTCTGCGCTCTTTCGTCATGAGCGACGCGATGCTGTTTACATGCACGTACGGCGACTATTCTGTGACACACAACGTTTGGTGGCCACAACTTTTTTGTGCTGACAGGCAGCTATTTACTTACTATTTGCCGGCCCTCCGCTTCGCGTTACAAAAGAGAGTAACGCGAGTAACAAACTCATTTCAATTTCAGTAATTGTAACTGCGTTAATTTGTTTTAAAAAATACTTCGTTACATGCTCGTTACCGCTAAAAGTAGTGGAATTACAGTAATGCGTTACTTTGTAACGCGGGGGGCCACGCTAAAGTTTGCCTTTCAAGATTTCTTTTTGTTTCTTTCAAAGAAAAATACTGTGACAATTATTAGTAAGGTAAAATAGAGTCTAGTTACTGAGTTTGGGCTCTGTCGGGCAGCACAGCTTAAGTAAGATTGGATATAGAGGTTTACAGACAAATACAGAGAAATGTTTGGTGTTCGTTTTTATTTGTTCAGCTGTGCTTTCTTTGCTTGGTATAACAACAGTTGTTTATCCAGTTTGCCGGTGGTCATCTACACTTCTGCACCGAGTTTACGTGCACAGTTCACTTTGTACACAAGCAGAGTGACGAGGAAAGCCGTCATCTGAAAAATAATTCTTGTGCTATCGTTGGGTATTCATTTTAGGACATAAAAGCCTGAGCCGGTTATTTAGTAAGTACGCAGTTTGAGGCACTTTACCACGTCATTGTGATGTGAACAAAAGAAAACTGAGCTATTGAAACAAGAAAAATGTCTACAGAAAAGAACAAAAGAGACAAGTTAATGGAAACAAGATGGAACACACTACGGTTAATTAGTATTTTGAGGAATAGTAGTAACACTGAGAATACCGGGATATTTTGGGAATTTTATTTTAGACCCTGAGTGATTATAGCAAATGTGAGGGTGATAGTCTTCCAATAATTACCTTTAAACACATCATCAAGCCCTTAGTGAAGACAGTTTGTGACTTCCTGATGGTTACGGTTTGTTTTGCAGCATATGAAAGAAAACATTCATTTTCTTATGTGAATGTACTGCATTTCTATGTGAAGTTGATCCAAGCCTGCTTCAATTTTCCTCTAGTTATTGTAACGGGCAAAACAGATTGTTCACAGAAACCATGGTGAACTTCTATTAGCGTTTATTCATAAGATGAAGATCTGAAGCAGTTTGGAAGACGAACGAGACGGCGACTTTAATGTTATCGTCCGGTTCTGAAGAAAGCGTGAACCATAAAGAGACGGAGGAAACATTGGTCGTTTGCTTTGAACCATTTTACCACCAGTTACATGTTCTTGCAAATTGGCTGTAACTGCTTTGACCGTGGAGACTTTTTTTGAAAGAGCATCTAAGCGTCCACCCTACAGCATATTTGATTTAGTCCAATATAAAAAAGAGAGATTATTTCCATCCACTATTTGTTAACGTAGAAATGACAATTACAGAAGGTTGAGCGTGAAGGAAGAGAGGCTCCGGTTGGTTTAAAATGACTACATTGTAATTACATTTCCCCTCAGTCATAAGTTTCTTTTATAACACATAACATTTTCATATTGCGATTATCTTACCTGTATTCCTAATTTAGGGTGACTGACTGAAGTCATGAATTACTGCTGCTTACCGGCAGCAGCGGTCACCGCATCAGCACCAGTGAATCCTTTGAGTCTCCACATCAACCAAGCATGAGCTTGTTCATTCTGGCCTCTCGCTCCCTCTCGATGGTCACAATGACTACTCAGTGGTCCAGTTGGGGAGATTTTTGTATTCATGGGTAAAAACCCACTTTGTTGCCCGGAGCAGTTTGAATGATGTGGCTTTTGTTCTTATTCCCTCATTAGAAATGACTTATGGTTTTGAGCACATTTCAGAATCATCAAAGTGCATTCAGCACTATAGAGCCATGCCACAAAAAATAACAGATGTATAATTTACATCTGTAAAGTAAATGCCCCACGTGGATCCACATGGCTAAAGCTTATTCAACTGGTGGTTACCGTTTGAACCCACTGAAATGCCTTGGATAATTACATTCTGTTTCTCTGGCTATTATTCATCATTTAAAGGTCAAGAGCGTTATTTGCAACACAAACCGAGCCTTGCATTGTGTAGGCCAGCGCTCGGTCTTCTCGTTGCCAAGTCACTTTGATATGTATGTGAATGTTGAATTAAAAAAAAAAAAACTGAGCCCTAATAGGCAGCCATTATTGTGAGTGAGTAACCTTTGTGTAAACCTGAGGTCTAATCACTTATTCAATCACTGAGGATTGCTTCCCGGCTCTCCTTCACCCCACCGCTCCCTCAAAAAAAAAGCATGCTGATTTTTCTTATTCAAAAACCATGGATACACTTGAATAAGATACATATTTCTGTCTATTGCCAGGCTCTAATTGGTTGCCTGAAGTACTAACAAGGTTCTCCTGGTGGGTGTAATTAAATTAGAATACATTGTCATGTTAACTAGGTAATTAAGTGAGCCATGGATGATCTCTTAGAACTTTCTCTTTCTGTTATCTGGCAACAAACACTCTATATCTTACAAGCATTGACGGATGCATAACCTGACGCCTGCAGATTCTACATATTTAGTGAGATGGTGAAAAGATAACACGGCTTAAAGTAGAAACTGCCATCTCTTGTGAAATTCATCTCCCAACAGTTAACGCCGAGGACAACGTGGCACCCAGCCAGACTGTGCACAGTGTGGATCAGACGTTTCCTCTGTCACACCATCAAGGGGAGGCGACAGAAGAGTGGACGCTTCGACTTGTAATCAGATGATGGGCTCACTAAAACATCAGTTTTAAGGCGGAGTTTAAAGCCATCACGCACTGCTATCTATAGACAGTTTCGGTATGTTAAAAGACAATTTATTCACAAATATTCACTACAAAGAAATTCCACATTACGCCCCGGAGGGATTCATATTTTTATTAGAAAGAGGCTTTCACTACACCATATGCTGCGCACTTCACAGTCAAGATCCATCAAATAAACAATGAGGAAGTGTACATCCATAACGTTCCAATGATGTTCATGTAATAGAACGTTAGACTGCAATGAACAACTAAAAACGGTTGTTTATTGGACCACTAAAGTATCACTGAGGCCGAGACGGAAACACTCCTCCTGCCATGTGCTATATCGCTGCAAAATCTCCAGACTGCACTCACAGAAAGAACCATCAAAGATTCTAAATTGTTCTTTCAGAGTAAAGAAACTCTTATGATGTGAAATTCTAAAGAGTAATCTCCTTGGGTGTGCAGGGCAACTATTATCCAGCAGATCACCTGCCCCCCCCGGAGAGGTGGAGGTCCTTTCACCTCGCACCTGCTGGTGTTTGGCAGCACAAGCCTCACACATGCCTTCTCTGCATCTGGACGACACCAGATGTTCTGGAATAATCTCTCATACAGGTGAAAGTTCTCTCAGCTGAACCTCAACTTGCTCACCATTTCTTCCAATTCAGACACGTCAACATACGTGCACGCAATTTCTGCTCAGATAACTCTTACTTTAAAACCTGTGCGGCAGCAAAGGGGAGGTGAAAAGCCTGAGGGAGGGACACCCCGGACCCGTTTTTCCCGCAAATTTGTTTTGACCCCGGCTGAAAAATAAGACTGTAACCGGATCTTGAAAGGTAGCATGCCTCAAATGCATCACAATGTCCAAAAAGAAGATGGCTGTTTAGCGGGGCAACACTTCTTTCTCTGAAATGTTGAATAATACATGTATATCTTGCTGTGATCCAGTGAATTTGATAAGCGTGTATAGAAAAGGATTGCTCTCAACGTAAACCATTTTGCTAGAGGCTGTTCTCTCTCCTCAGTCCAGTCTCCCATAAATAATTTGCCTTCAACCTTCACATGCATAAAAATTGCAACTTGTTGGTTATGAGAGAGAACAGTGAGGATGCACTTTGAATGCCAATGCGCCAATGAATAAACAATGGCTCACTGCTCCAGGAGCAATGCAGAGCTGCCAGGAGACATTGCTTTGAGTCCACAGGCTCTCTAAATGGTTTTCACCACAGACCAAGCCTTTCAGTCAGCTGTGAATGGGAGGCTGTTTTGATCTGGGGCGGGAGTGGGTGGGCACTTTAATATTTTCTAACAAAGCAACAATTCCCAAGGCACATTGGACAACCTTGGATGATTTGTTCTGATTATCCTGCAGCCACTCAGAGCCGCTTTAAACGGCGACGGCATGGGCTTTCTAAAGCAACAGGCTCATGAGAAGTAGCCTTACATTCGCTTTCAAGGCATGTCATCTCTGCCGAGGTCACTACCGAGGCCCACTGGAGGCATCTCTCACTCTCAATAAATGTTTGCGCGCCAAACCCCGGCGGCTCTCATTAAAACCTCCGAATCACCGAAAATGCGAAAGCAGAAGGAACGCTAAAATAGTCAGAATGCTCTGGGATGCTTTGGTAAAGACATGAGGTGTCTGACGGATCGAAGTATGTGATCTCCCCAAGACGAATTAGGGAACCTTGTGCCTTCTGCAGTGCTACAGTGCCACCTGGTGGTGGTGATATGTGTCGTTGAGATGGGTCAGTCAGTTGGCAAGATGATTAAAAGGGTAACCTTAATCCCCCCATATTTCTGTTTCTAAGTAATTAATGGGATACTAGTTGAGAAAGAATTGCTGCAGTGAGACGAGAGCAAAAACAAGCTGCGATGGATATTCTTTATGTGACTAGACGTTGTTAGTTTACTTCCAACAAAGGTACTTTTGACAAGGGAGAAAGTGTGTGATAAAGAAAAAGGTTGAGTCTGTTTCTGCTTTTTGTTTCACATATGTTCAACAATCTGTAAAATACGCCCATGATGAATGAGTCCAACACACTCATCACTGATAAGATGGCTTTATTTCTTTTTTAAGACGCACACTAAAATAACGCATGTCTTTAACGCAATCTGCTCATGTACATGTTTGGATTTGAAACAGCCTCTTTAAAACAACATTATATTTTATGTAAAACACCACATTGTTAAAAGTTCTCTAAAAGAGAAAAGAAATTCATTTTTGTGACAACAACACGATGCCATACAAAATACATTTTCTCTTTAACGTAACTGAATGAGCTAATTAGCATTTACTGGTTGTGTAGCATATTTCATAGCACAGTTTGACCAACATCATAGCACTCATTGTTATTTTAAGGTTGCATTCTACAATGTGTGATCAAGAAAAAGTTAGAAACTCCCCCTCAAAAGTGCTAATTTAGTATTTAACGATTCAGAGCAAGCCGTTTATTACAGAAAAAAATATATATACTGTATATCAAGAGGCTTCATGTACACCATATTAAGACAATGTGTTTCATACACTGATATCCTCAAAAGTGCTTGTTGATGTCTGAGCAGACTAGAATAGAAAACAAAATGTACAGTACATTGGCCACATTAGCAGAGTGTTATTTATACAAATATAATACATTTAAAATCAATGTTGTTTTAAACACTTTCCTTTACTGAAATCATATTAATAAAACCAGATTCTTTAACTTGGCATCACTTAGACATTTAATAAAATATATGAGCCATCATTTCACTCCGCCGATCACGCTCTCAAATTCATTTAAGACAATATCTGCATACTTTTTTCCCTTTGAGCTCCCTCAAAAGCTGTAGCAAAACCTCCCAGTGATGTCGACATTATGATCCTGAGCAGCAGCCTCACGTGACTTTTTTTTTCTTTTTTAGCAGCTCCTGACGAACACAACAGTCTGAGGATAAAGTGCTGTTCTCCTTTGGCCCCCATGTGGAATCGGATAAAAACCAGTGGTAACAATCAGTCGTAAACCCCGGCCTCTGATCTCAGTGCAGCGTGATAAAAAGCCTCCTGACCCAGAGCCGTGGACAGCAGGCTGTGCCCGCGGGGAGACATGCAGCCCTGGCCGGGCAAATACCCAGCGACGGCTTTAACGGATCTTGTGGGTTTAAGTCTGGGCGCTGCGTAATACCCCTCCTTGTGGTCATATTGTGTGGCTCTGACTTTAGTGCTCTGCGTCCTCCTGTTGGATTGAGTGGAAAAGGATCCCAGATGTTCAGGATCCAGTGGGGATTTGGCCGGGTGATGATAGTGGTGGCGATTCTCCCTGGTGCTCTGCGACCTCCCCGGCCTCCTGAGGATGCCGGGTTTCACCATACCGGAGTAGCTGTTGACGGCGTTGGTCGCCGCGAACCGATCCTGGTCGCGAACTTGTCCGTGGCTTCGGGTACCCTCCTCGATGTTCGGACAGCCCCTTTCTGGAAGAGAGGGGACTTTGCGAAGCGGAGGCTGCTTCGAGGAGGTCTCATTGATCTGAATCCGCCTGGACGGACCCGCCTCCGCGTTTGACCGGTGACCACGCTGCGGCCGGACGACCACAGGCTCGGCCTCTAGAGGCCTCGGCGAAGCAGCCTCCGCGTTTTTGCTTTCCGTCCGGTTAGCGGAGAGGAGGAAGGCGTCCCCGGGGTCTGACTTGCTTCTCGTGTGCATTATGTCTCTGTTTCTTGTGTCAGTCGACAAGACAGGGCTGTCATAAGGAGACGCGGCTGGACTTGCATTTTTACGTCTGGATTTACTCTCTTGCTTGACAGGTTGATACAAGACTCTCTCGATAACTTCTGCGTCTCTCGCCTCGTAAACAACAGTGTCCCTGCTTTCCATGTAAAGCCCGCGGTTTAAAGGAGGGACGCGGCTCGGGGAGTAGTTATAGTAATCCGACGGTCCGCTTCCCCTTGTGGATCGCACGGTGTAAGACTGACTCTGCCGGATGCCGCTTTGCCGGCGAGGCTCTCCATAACAACGGAAACCAGCAGCAGGGCTTATATCAGAATACGGGCCGTGACCGTAGTCGACGCGTGTCTTCTCAAACTGCTGGCGGACGGGGTAAACGCCGGTCTGAACCAGCCTCTGATAGGGCGCTTCCCGGCTCGACGTTTGCTCGACATAAAACATGGCGTCAGCCCGCGGGACTTCCGTCTCTGCCAGCTGATAGCGGCTAATCTGAGGGGCGTGGAAGGAGCGAGCCCTGCGGATGCCTGGGTGCCCCGTCACTTTATCTTCAGGCCTCTGCCATTGGCCTGGTTGCCTGCGGCGCTCGTCTCTGTTGTAACATTCGTATGGAGGTGACAAAGGTTGCCTCAACCCTAAAGTGCTGTAGCGGCCTTCGGAGGATTCTCTGTGCACGTTTTTTGGCCCCAAAATGAGATGCGGCAGAGCATCGGGTCGAGGGCAGTGAGGTGCGGGCATCCATCCTGGTTGAATCGGCCGATGGCGGTGATGGTGATTGCCGTAGACGTCCTCAAGCGCGCCAAGGGGTGTGTCGTCCTCAGGGCTGTAGTGATGGGTCGAGTGGGGGGGCTGCGGTGGACGTGGAATGACCTCCTCGATTGAGCCGGGCATGGAGGTCTCTGCCAGAACGGCGCGGAAATTAAAAGCATTGATAGAGCCAGCGTTCGCATATATAGGAGACGTCGACGGACTCGGAGCGGCGCGGGCGGGTTGGGCGGGCGTCGACACCCCGACGCTCTGATATGTGGGTTCCGCTTGTGTGGCCGGCTCTTCTTCCTCACTGCAGTCCCTCCTCTTTCCGCTGCCTTCGCCGAAGCTCCCTGACCTGAGCGGGCTGACGTAAGGTGAGAAATTGCCGGCGCTCTCCTTTCCGTCAATCACCTGCAGCGGCTCCGAGATGAGGTGGGCAGGCAGGAAACGGAGAGGATGAGGGCGGCGGTGGCTCTCCGCGGGGCTGTGCGTGGATGCTGGCCACTGGGGAGCTGAAGAGGGGTGAGGCCCGCAGTACTCCTGGGGGTACACTTTAAGATCGAGAACAGAGGGCCGGGGCGGTCGGTCCTGGGCGTGGGGGGCCTCCGGTCTGTGGAGGGGCTGCGACGGGACATCGCTTCTTCTCTGGGAACCAGTGCTGGCCTGGTGGGCAGATTCAGCCAGCGCCAACGCCAACTTGCGTGCAGCACTCGTCAAGGGAGGGTGAGGAGGGAGAACAGACACTGAACTCATAAGTCTATCTGTTCCTGGGGAGGGATAAGACAAACAACGCTACAGTATGACAAGACAAACAAAGCTATGGTAAGACATGATGGGACAAGACACAAAAGCTTTCATAAGAAACTACAGATTGCTTTTATATTTAATTATATACCAACTCTAAAGAATAAACAGCACGAGGAGAACTACTGACCTGGATCGGGGAGGTTCTGTGCAGACTGAGAGAGGTCGGTCAGGGCGGAGCCGTGGCTTGCTGTGCCGAGTGGGCTGCAGTGTTTGTACGGCGCTCTTGGCTCCTTCCCATCTGCCAGTGGAGCGTCACACTTCCCTGCTGGGGGATAAGTAGAAGGAAGAGGAAGAGGAGAGGCTGATATATTCTGAACGTCTGTGCATCTTAAACGAATTCTTCGTGAGCTTAAGAGAGAGCTGCTCGGAGGCAACCTTCTTCCCACCTTTAACGAGAACAGGGCTAATATCTGGAGATTGGTATCCAATGACATTGTTAGCAGAGGAGATGGGCTCATTACAACAGCCTGCGTTCTTCCTCCATTTGTTTGCATCTTTGTTGCGTTGCAGCCCAGGCGTCGCTGAGGCAGGGCTGCACTGAAAAGACATGGGGTCGAAGTCCAAACTGTAGATGCCTTCAGCTGGCAGACAAAGATCCAGATCGTCTTCCTGGTGTGGGGGCGAAATACACGCTGCCGTGACCCGATCAGAACCAGTTTGACTCTCGTTCAGCGGGTGGGTTCTGGTTCTGGGGAAGTGTACGTTGTCTCTGTGGACTCCAGAAACAGCCTCACTGGTCGAACGAGGTCTGCGGGGGCGGTAACTCGGGGGCTCTCCTGGGATGCAGAAATATACATATTTAGACTGAATCATCTGCAGTCACAGAAACACAAATAGTGCAAATAGTGTGCATGAGTGATTACCTTCCACATTATGCAAAGAAGTGAGCGATTCCTCACTTTTGGTGGAGCGCAACGTGCCGCTATCTCCTCTTCCACCTGCAGATATTTCCAGCGCAAATTATTTCACTAATACACACTGCCACCAAAAAGAACATCTCAACGCTTCGAACTGTCAAGACTGTTGAATAAATCGACCAGTTCAACACGTGTAGATCTGTGTGTTCTGGGTGCGTAGCAGCAGAAGTGATCCAACCTGGCAGTGCAATGCTCTTCATCTCGTTAGGCTCGCTGGGGTGTCGCTTCAGTTTACGCTTGGACACAGAGTGGGACTTCCCCAGGTGGAAAAAGGAAAGCCAGTTGCCCACGGGAGACTTCTTGACTTTAATTGGAGGCCGCTTTCCGCTACGAGAAACAAATCATCATCAGATTTCCTCAGTTTTCCAGATTTTTGGAAATTAAATCCCCATGATGTCATTTAATCAATAAACAGGAGGAGGAGGTCCCTCCCACTACCTCTCCATCGGGAGCTCGATGACTGTGTGGAACTTGCCGAGCAGAGCTCCGGGTCCTTCTCCCACCTCGATGTAGTCGCTTTGGGTGAGGCAGGGGGTGGTGGCCGGCGAGCCCAGCTGAGCCTGAGTGCGAGCTTGAGCCTCCTCTAGAGACAGTAACTTTGTGGATGGGGAGCAGACCAGCAGGGACTTGGGTCTGGATGAAGTGTTGTTACCTGAAAATAAGATGATTTAGAGAAGGTCGTTATCTCCACAACAGATGCCACGTGTCAATTCGATCCCCCATTCGGACCAACCTGTGCTTTCACGGATGATGGCATTGAGTTTAGCACTGAAGAGAGCCTCGGTGTTGTTGAGGATGAACTCCACCACCACCGACTGGATACGCACCTCCATGAACGCCGCCGTGCCGCTGAAACAGGCCGACTCAATCTGTCTGGACCTGAAACGCCACAAGCTATTTCAGAGCCCTGGACCACAGAGACATGACCCAGTTCACCGTCACACATACACTAGAAGGAGCGTTGGGGTCAATTAATGATGTAACTGTTCATCTGGAATAATAGTCAAAAAGCTCTCACCTGAGAAGGTTGGGCGCCCAGACGATAGCTATGTTTTTGGTGTGCATGTTAGTGATGGGGCTGAAGGTGGCCAGGTGAGAGAGGTGTCTCATGAGGTACTCCAGAGTCCTGCAAGTAAAGGATATTTAATATAATCAATATACATGTTCTTCCTGTCAAAAAGTTAAAAAGGACAATTCGGGTTAATATCAGAGGGGCATTCATCCAACACACAGGATTAATGCATTTTTGTCATTTAAAAAATGTCCATGTACAGCAGCAATGTTATCCTGCACTAAGGGGTCATTAGAATTTAAATGGTTTAAAGCCGAGTTTTACATCATTTTCTACACATTACTAGCATGCGCAGCACAGCATTGACTTGTTCTCATCCAACCCTGCCTTCCTTAGAAAATTGAAAACCGAAACCCACTTCAGGCCACCAGGTTGCAACAGTGAGCTTTAAACTTGACCTGTAGTGTGGAGGAGGCAGTTGCTGGATGACATTGTGGATTTTGACCAGCCTCTCCTCATCTGTGGCTGCAGACACGGCCTCCTGTGAAGACAGAGGACAAAGCACACGTCACAGAGAGGGTCATAATCTCTGCAGAGGGAGTTGCCTACACAGTCCCACTCTCTTTTTTCCCCTTTTCTATTCAGAGCAGCCAGTGTTCTGACTTAATCTGCTATTCTGTTTAAGCGCGCACATCCCCTGCTTTCCTAGAAAGCTCTGCATAATGCAATGACCCCGTTTTTGAACAGCATTTAAAACTGGGCTGGCAATTTGACATTGTTTCTCCAGTTCTTTGATCATCGCTGAGTAAAAGCAAATGTTCAGCTGTTTCCATCCCCATATCTTTTGTGCAGCTGCGCCAGTTCCACAGCTCTGTTCCTTACGGAGAATCTGTCGTAGAGCTGGTAGGTGAGCAGAGGGTTGGGCAGCTCTCTGAAGTACAGCTTGCAGAGGGAGCCCACCGAGTGGATGTCCTGTCTGAAGACGTCCCTGCTCAGGTCTGGGACCTGTTCTGAGTCAAACTCGTGCCTAGAGGGAAAGAAAGAAAACAGGGTGTGAGTCATCGTACTGCCAATCTGTCAACGACAACAGCTACTGCTTCATGAAAATCTGAAATCTGAAATTTGACAGATTACTTTGACAATACTGCAAAACGTTCCTCCACAATGTCAACAATGTTTCCTCCTTTCGTTTGCCCACACCAGATTATGAGCCTGCCGATTAATCTGCAAATGAGTGTTTGCTTCGTGAATTCCTCCCGGCTAACATGGAATAGATGAGATAACCATTACTGCCATTCAAAGCTGCACAGCTTGAATCAAATTGCATTTTATAGAATAGTATAGTATAGTTTTAGAAGAGGCAGCTTAAAAACCACATTTGGACAGTGAGCATTGTTGGAGCTATGTCATTGACACATTCTTTATATTCGGGTCAAATTCATAATCAATGGCGGAAAAGAGTACAAACCTCAGTTTCTGGATGTTGGAGGAGATCCCGGACAGTCTGTAGATCCCATCCACAACTCCGTGGTTCTCTATGAAGTCAGCGCAGCTCTTAACAACCTGCGGGACTGCAGGAGAAAGTGGTGTCAGGAGAGGCCGTCCTACCACAGAGATTTCAACACGTCTGCAAAAACAGACATGGAGACGCACATCTTTTGGCAAATCTACGACAACCCGCTAGGCAGAAGCACATCTCGATAGCTGGTTATCCACACCACCAACTCAATTCACATCAGACGACGCAGCAATGCATCACAAATCCCTTGTACGGGCAGCCGATGCACTAGGTAATCCCTTCTCTGGGTATTTGCGAAGTGTGAACCGTGTAAGAATTACACAATGAAAAATAGTGGGGGAAGAGAAGCCATTGTGGGAATATTTTACCCTCGTGTCCTGAGTTGTGGAGGTATTCCCCCAGGTCACAGCCGAACACTCTCTCTTTGAGGATACCACGCTGCCGGAGCTTCTGAGGTGGTGGTCTAGACTTCATGAAAGTCCTCAGGGAACGTTACAAGCTTCCCATGCTTCTTACACACTGATAAAGATAACCATAATACACTTTATTTGTAAGGCTCATTTTATACAAAAAAGTGCTTCACATTAAAGAAAAGAAAAACATAAAAAACATTTGACAGTTTAAGGTCTTGGGCACAGTTACTACTCATTGCCAAGGCTCCTGAATCCTGAAGCAAACCCAGACCCTCACAGTTTCTCCTCTCGATTTCACTGAAAGAAACATTTTTCAACCATCTCAGAAGGTTTTCCCCAAGGTGTGACCTCACTCCAGGTGTCACCCGCGTCAGGTGGAGGCAGAACACGACCCAGAAAAAACAGCCCCTTAAAATCGCCCCTGGGAGCGAGGTTAAAATAAATCATAGAGCAGAACGACGGAATTGCACTGAAGAGTACCTGGCTTCGGCACCGAGCTCTGAACACTGGAGGGGATCTTGTCGTTTATCAGCTCAACACAGTCGCAGGGGAAGAAACCAACCTGCAGGGGCAGAGGAGAGCATGAGAAGGGACGGGGCTGTTGATACACTCGTAAGTTCAACGGGACCAGTGGGGGTGTTTGCTGCTGTGGCAGACTGCAGTCAGGTGATGGTGCAGAAATGGGTCAGTAAGCATGAGGGTTCATGGTGCCTCAGGCTTTGCATTCTTAATGTGCAAAACATGTCAGGATGCCGCTCAACAACATGAACTGACTGGAGGATTTCTGCTCAAGTTCAACTCATATTTGAAGATAAATATAAACCAAGCAGAATGTCTTATTCCCTCAGGATGAGGGATGAGGGAAAAAAATGTCATTTGGATGAAGGACTGTTTTACTTAAGACACTGTGTTGGTGATGTATCTCTCTTATAATTATTGTGATATCAAAAGTCCTCTCTTTTCTCTGAAAAAAATATTCAAATAGGCCAAAGTGATTCCACTATTCTCTCAAGATACTATGCAGTTTCCTAATTCAGACTGTACAAGCTTTTCAGTACATTTATGGCCCACTCAAGGATCTTGGTGTACAATTTTCCTTTCACAAGTCTAATTTTTGTTTTCCATTCAGGTTCATCTGGTTCTTTTTCCGTTGAATCTATTTCTAAATCCTTACGTGGCATTAATGGCAAAGGCAAACTTTTCATTCCACGATCAAACACCATTTGACTTCGTCATTGTCTGTGAAACTTGTGTGAACGTGAGTAAACGCACCGGCGCAGGTCCGGTGTTGTCACGTGCAGCGTGTTCTCGTTCGGATTGTAACAGCAATATTCAAATTTCACTGATGCAACAAACATGCAAACATATCTATTTTGGGGCGCATGTTTTGCCATCTCCTCTACTGGTTTTTGTGTGTGTTGAACAGTGATGGCTACCAAAGGCCAAGATTTAGCTGCCAATTTGTAAAAATGCTTTTGATGGCAGCGTGTCAAGCCCTGCTTCTATTAGCCTGAGAAAGGCACAGCAGATAATTTACCTGAAAGCCGTGTTTCCCTCTCCACCAGCCTGTGTCTTCTTTGGGAGGCATGTCGATGACTGACACAATGTCCCCCACCTGAGTGGGAAGAGTGGGGTGTTGAGGACAAAGTCGTGAGCTTAGCTGATCGTAGTAAAAAAGGCGTTAGGATAGGATCACAAATGTGTATATGGAAGCTTCACAATGAAATGAACTGGGCTCAGAGATGCAAAAATAAATGTGGTACCTCAAAGGTCAACTCGTCTGAGGCCTGTGCTGTGTAACGTTTGGTGACGTGGGCAGCAGCAATGGCAGGGACGTTGATCGAGGATTCCTCAGACACTAGAAGATGGTTCCCCTTGTTGTCAATCTGGAAAAGAAAATAAGGTCATTTAGAAACCATAAGACATGTTGGCAAAGCTTAGCTCAAAGACCGGAAGCGGGAAGAAGCTGTTGTTTGTAGTTTATTTCAATAAAAATGATTTTTATTGGTTTAAAGCATGTGATCTCATTTCAATCGATCTCAAGCAACAGAACGGGGCTTACTAGTCTCCCAACAAGAGTCGACTCAACAACGCAAACAACCTCCCCCATCTGCAGACTGCTTCTATCTCTGACAACAGGAGGTGCATCACTGTGAGGTTCCAGCCGTCATGCAGCGGTTCGTCCAGAAATACAACACGTAGATATTTTCTTTTAATTTTCAACATAAATGTGAATCCTTAATGTCCGGCCGTTCCTTTTAACTTGGTTACTAAAGGGTTAATAGTGAATTTCTAATATCGAATTCAAATTATGGTGTCATTTTTTTCTAGAGAATCACTATAGGTGGTGAGGAAACAGCTGATGAGAAGATACCTCCATCCACGTTAGCACTGGACCACAGTTGATCTTGTTGTCAGCAATGGCGGAGAAGCGGGACAGGTAAGTCGCCAGCATCTTGGTCACTGACTGAATGCAGACACAAGGTTGTGAAGATTATGTAAAGTCTGACAATTTAAGAGTCATTTTCCACACATCACGCAACACAGCAGAGTCAGCTTAATTTCAAATCAGAGTAAATACAATCACAGATGCAGGAGTTGGAGCTCTTTGGTACCTCAACAGTGTCCTTTAATGTGTCGTGTCGGGGCAGCTCGATGAGCTGGGAGTACCGCCGGTCATAGATACACAGGTGCAAGTATTTGTCCAGCAGCCGGAAGTCTTCATAGGATCTCTTTACCAGCCAGTTCCGAGTCTGACAAAAGAGAGAATGTTGTAAAATTGACGTGGAAAAAGCAGTTTGACATAGTTATTTTCTAGAATGCAGCTAGTATTGTTACCTGGCATGTGATCTGGACCAGAAAGACCAGCTCTTTCGAGTCCAGACCAGCCTTCGGTCCTTCACTCTGCCCCTCTGCAAAGGCCAGCTGCGGGAGAAGAAAGATTATAGACAGAGAACCCAATATTAAGAGGAGCCCACATTCTGAATAATGGATGCATGTAATACAACAACCTCTCTGTATGTGACCTGGAATACAAGAACATTGTGCCCAAACCACATTTTGTCATTGAATAGTAAAAGAGCTTTTATACTTGACTGTGGGTTGGAATATAAAAACCTTCAAAACCTGAGTAACATCGAATTACAGAAGTATTTCCTAAAAAAGAGAGGTACGTTAAGATATTTCTTAACGTATCAAATCTTTGATTTTGAGAGCCTTCAAGTCTGTTTGAGAAATGACTGCAGTGTATTTATTCTGCCCCTAACATAGCATTGATTCATATTCTCACTTCAACGTAAATCCTGCAGTATGAAATATATAATACATAAACTGTGAAAGTATCAGGCCTCAGAGGTTTAGATTTAGCACAGATTTCTTAGCTAACGAATCTTCACTATGCCCCGAAACAGACAAGATCAAAGCCTTGCAGCACTTTGGGAATACATCGATTCCATTACATCAGTAGAGGTCACTTCAAAGGCTGAAAGCAAGGAAAGTTTTGCTTATTTTTAACAGCTTGTCATCCAGATCCACTGTTACACAACACACAGCGACCTAGTTACTGCTTAACGGTAACTGCAATCTTAACTTTAAAAGAATCCAGATGAGAGATTTATTCTTGAATAAGTCATGATGGAAGAGCTTTCATACACGGCGGGGATTTGTCTGAAATAACAGGCTTGAAGGGAGAGCCTGATTTAGAAATGGGGAGGGTCAAGAGGCCGAATGCATGATGGAAAGCAGGATCAGTTACACAAAAACACAATCTCGTTCTGATGAAACCAGGTGGATAAAAATAAAAAGACTATTAAACAAAAAGTGACAAAGCTAAAGGATCTGAGGATCACTTCATCACCATGATGCTAACACACTGAAGACTGCCCCTTACAAAATAAACGATGCTAACATACCTCAGGTTGCAGAAATAAAACCTGCACAAATTGATTAATTCACAAAATTCTGGATCCAGAAGTTAAAATAAATACGTACAGATCCAAACATTCGGGTTACCTGCCACTAAGGCATCGCAGACATCCATCCACAGCTGGAGGAAGTGGCTCTTTGTTTGGGTCCAGCCCGAGTCCCGGACCTCAGTGAGCTCCTCCAACTAGCTAAAACCTTGGCAGCGGAGTTCAGACGCTGCTCCTTCCGCTGCCTGTTCGCCGTCCCCTGCCGCCTGACGTGAAAAGCTCATTCATACGCCGCTCTATTCAAAGCAAAAATTCTCAAAAGAGGATGCTTCCCTCTGTGTCTTGTACACCGCCACCCCCTCCTCCTTCTCATCCTGCCTTCCTCTCCCCCCCCTCCCTCTCCCCTACTCTGCCTCGGTCTCCCTCCCCCCTCTCTGAACCGCTCTCCTTTCTCCAGTGACAATGGGATGGGGGCGCGCGGGTTGGCGGTAAATGGGCTCAACTGGCACAGACAGATGCACATGCTCATCCATCATACAGAGGTGGGGCTGCACAAGATAAATAGACAACCCTTCTTCATTTCAAAACCATTCACATTCATTCCAGTCTCAAGGCGAGATTTGAGCTGATCTGGAGATGAATCAGTCGAGCAGGCTGCAGACAGAGTCAGCCTGCAGACAGGCAGTCTGCACAGAGGCAGGCTGCAGATAGAAGCCCTCTGCAGATAGAAGCACTCTGCAGATAGAAGCACTCTGCTGATAGAAGCAGGCTGCAGATAGGAGCAGGCTTCAGACAGAAGCAGGCTGCAGATAGAAGTAGGCGGCAGATAGAAGCACTCTGCAGATAGAAGCAGGCTTCAGAAAGAGGCAGGCTGCAAACTGCCTTTCTGCAGATAGAGGCAGTCTGCAGATAAAAGCAGTCTGCTCTCCTTGAGCAATTCTGCGGTTAGGGTACAAGAGACTTGAATGCATCATGGGAGATACAGCGAGAACTAAGACTAGTTTCACAGATTAAGTTGAGAAACAAACATGAATAATTATTATTATCTTTATTAATATTATATCTAAAAATGTTGGAGAAAAAATAAATCTGATTATATTATTGTATGTGCGTGTGTGTGTTTGTTTGTGTTTGTGTTTGTGTTTGTGTTTGTGTGTGTGTGTGTGTGTGTGTGTGTGTGTGTGTGTGTGTGTGTGTGTGTGTGTGTGTGTGTGTGTGTGTGCACGCTGGCGACTTTCAGTGTTTCCCCAGACTGGTGTTTATTTTCCGGCACGGCTCGGGTTTTCTTCTCCCTGTGGAGCTTTTCAAGGTCAAACTGTTGTGATGCTACACTTGCCTGCACTCTGCTGATGGAGCCATCACATCATGGCAACAACAGCGGGATGTTTATCCAACAGAGAGAAAACGCATCCTGGGAATTAAGACTGGTCAAAGACGCACTAGTCCATTGATGCTACATATTCATCCCAACAGATGTGCATGCACTGTTTTTGTGTTGACGACTGCTGCACTCTGCCGGCAACCAAACCGAACTGCACCGAGCTTAACCAGGCGGCTAACAGCCACTTCCACGCGACTGAGCAACCGCTGATGCTTCATTGCTTCTCATCATCACTGCTCCAAATATACTTAAAAGTGAAATATACTTCTTAGCCTATTTGTTTAAATCATTTGCTGGCTGGTAAGACTTGTTCTATCCATAGTTTCCTACTGTGAACACAGGATATTAACATAATGTCTGCAGCTAATGTTGCAACATGCAGATATCCTCTAAATGTTTACAGTGTACAGCCATGCTATTAACACTGTGGTGCTACGTTTGGCTCCCTAATGCTTTGAGCTAAAGGCCAGTGTTGCATGCTGATGTTAAGCAGTTTAAACCCCTACAATGTTCACCTGGCATAATAACAAATGCTAATGAGCATCAAACATCAAGAATCGTTTTAAAGGCATTTTGAATTAAATCTCTATACAATTCATCTATGCAAAGGATCATGAATATTTGTACCCAAACGTAATGGTTAAAATGGAGGAAAAACATTGCAAATAACTTCACCTACATTTAACTGTCAGCAAATGTTCTTACACCTTCAACTTTTTTTAGCAGAACATGTTTAGACTTTCAAAATAAGTCATCTTTCACGAATCCCGGATAAACTCTGCTGTCTATTCAACTGCTGTTTTGCATTTACTCGCGGATTGACATGTGCTTTAAGTCAAACTAGTAAGTCTGGATCACAGATTTACAGGTCAGACAGTAATACAATGTAATGCAAAGGATTAACACGCTGCCGGAATCGGATCATGGCTTTAATAAGAATAGGACTAATAAAATCTGTCACAGTAGTAACATTCTGAACAAACATATGTTCTATAGTGCTCCTCATGAACTATACATCAACCACACTGATGTGGTATGAAAAAAAAGAAGGTCTCTGCAATTAAGACCAGAAAAGAGAAACAAGTTTGTTTGACTGCCACATTGCATTTCAAGAAGGATTTCAGGAGCTGTTGACTAAAAACGGCCCAAATAGCCATTGAACTTGAGCCAGAGACACAATTACCAAAGAGAGCGAATCTCTGCTGTAGAAGTCGCTTCGCGTATTTTCAGGTCTCACCTGTACAGTGCCAAAGTCAACAGTCTCGTAGTGGAAATGGGCACACTCTGCCAACCTGGGGAAGTGACCTTTAGGGAACGTCAGCCTAAAAAGAAGAAGAAGAAAAAACACACAGTACAAGAGGCCCTCATCAGTATTCAAAACACTAACACTGTGATGGAGAGAAAAGCAAAGCAAAGCCAAAGAGGAAAAAGGTCTATGAATGTGAGGGAACAGGATTAGAGACCCAGCTGGCCGACTTGTCTGTCTGCGCACATCATTTTAGAGGTCCTCATTTCACTGGCCTAAATAAGAGCCCTGTTTCATACAGCCCATAATAGCACCAGCACTGTCACAGGGAGCACCTACTTCTTCACGTTCTTGACCTTCATGCTAGCTGTGCTGACGCAGGAACGCAGGAGAGGCTCGGCCGGGAGCTCTGTGATGTCATCGCTCCTCACCTGCCCAACAGAGGAAGCACACGTCAACCAACGAGCGTCAGTCAGTCACAGATCGATTACGTTGATCAGCAAAAGATGCAGGACACTAACTTACGCATTAACCATATTATGCATATAGCAAGATACTTTATAACAATGTTATGCTTACACTTTGCTATTTTCAATCATTCTATGCTAAACTTGTGTTATGCTAATGTTTTATGATGTTATGTTTTGTTATACAGTATGTATTAGGCTACGCTAATTTATGCTACAATTATTTAATTAGATCACCATTATGTTATGTCATGCTTATTCTAGCTTTGCTATAATATGTCAGGTCATGTCATTATTTGAGATGAATTAATCTGATCACATGTTTGTGGACATGTGACAATTGTGCAGGATGATTTTGCATAACATATGCAGGAAAACAAATTTCGCTGAACTTTAAGTGAGAAACTGCATATGTCTTCATCACAAAGACTTTGATCATTAAAACAGAACGGTTATTCGCCCATGCGGAGGATGGAGGATATTTATTTACGTTGTGACTTGTCTGCTACAACATTGTCATAACGCCTTTACGCAATAACCCCTCTGACACGCCCCCTCCATCTCAATCTAAAAGGTGACATGATTGAATCCACCTCTGCACCTGTTGCCACTCGTATCACTTTGACAAATGATTATGACATGACCTCATGCTGTGGTGACATCATGGTGTGAATCACATTCACAACCAACGCAGGGCGACATGTCTGTTGTGTGTGCGTTATGTTGTATGAGTGACGAGTCAGAGTTGTGTGCGTGGGCGTGTACCATGGCAGTGGATGTCTCGTGTTGCTGTTTCTCTCCCGGAGGATTGTTGTTGGTGGCTTGAGGTAAGGCCTCGTCTTTGTCCAGGTCACTAGATGGTAGGACGTCCCTGCAGAAACGGACAGGAAATGTCATGTGAAGATTAAAATGCAAGAAAGGTGACATGACATACTGCTGGTATTCATGTAGTCTGGTCTTTTCAAAGATGATTCTTAAGAGGTTTTTGTTAAAACACCAGAGGGAGCAAGTGAGGGAGATGATTTCACAACATGGTGCTTGGACTCACAGAATATCATTGCACCAGAATGGACAAAAGTATTTGAAATATTTGTTGTTTAAATCTGATATTCGGGAAATTCATTCAAAAACATTGGTACATTATCAGATTTTCAATCCGATATCAATGGGAACATTTGTTGCATCATCGCTCAGAAGGGAAGGGTCAACAAAAAACGCTGTGTATGTGCTGAGGAAAGCACAGCTCAGCTATTCAGACACCCATAAAGAAAAAAACACCCGCGAGGGAGTACTTCACAAAAACTTAACCTGAAATGTGCCTGAATGTTTTTGGTACGGGAGGGTCTATATTCAGGTCAACTTTCATGAGCAACAAATAGAGGAGAGAGAGAGAGAGAGAGAGAGAGAGAGAGAGAGAGAGAGAGAGAGAGAGAGAGGCCCTGAATTTGTCATAGAGCTTTAGCAGGATGAAATGAGGACATCCTGCAAAGAACACAGACACACATGTTCCTTTGTGTGTGATACAGAGTGACAGAGCTAATTGCATAAACATAATGTAAACATACAGGGACATACAATAAGCTCTGGGTCTATGGGGGCTTTACACAGGAAAGGTTTTCCACTCTGAAAACAAGGCCATGTTAAGTCGTACCATTACCTTTCTACCAGTTGTATTCATTTGCATTCAAAGGCCAAAAAATTTACACAATCTTCTTTATGGCTTTTGTTGCGTTTTTACTTTTCTATTGAGAATGGCCAAAAAGGCAGCAACAGGAAGCAAATCCCAATCTCATACAAAAACGGCACAATATGTTCAATACATTAAAAAAAACATCTTGGAGAAAGAAATCACACAATTCCGTTCATTCTAAATGAAATGCAGAAAAATAGTTACTCACCCCTCAAGGACGTCGCCACTTCCGCGTTGGCGATGGGGTCCTGAGGCAGCATTCTCAATCACCGCGGCAACCACACATCCAGCCTCCATGATGCTGCCTGACTGCAACAGACCGCTGTAGAGACACGTGCGGGGAAGGGAAAGAACAGAGGGTGGGCGGGCGGGCGGTTAGAGGAATGTGAGAGGATGGGTGGAAGACTCCAGCGCAACGAAGACGCCAGATGACAACCCGGCCGAGGCTGCAGCGTGGGTGACTCTCAAGGCAACGATGCAAAGAGCCCAGACTGTAATCTGCGATGACATCATACTACAGCGCCAGGGGAGCTGCTTCAGAGACAATGCCAGTCGGGAAGGTTTTATGAGAAGATCAGTTTCTTTTTAGCAAAGCACTGACATACTCTTGCTTAAGAAAATAAGGGCGATGTCATAGCAGCTTCAGTTCATGTCATTGGAGTTTTTTTGACATCTTTATTACATGATGAATTTAAACTTTCACGAGATTGTCTTGGTGTGTTTGTGTGTGTGGGTGTGTGTGTGTGTGTATGTAGGTCTGATTATAAAATATGGTTATGGTTCATTTTCAAATAAAGGTTTTAAAAACCTAATGCATATTTTTCAGTCTGGTACAATGATGTGCATTTTATATGGGTGGTTAATTATAATAATTACATACATACATCAAGTGATGCAAAACGTTGTCCTCAGTTAATGAATATTTTTGTTATTCATTTTTCGCCAAATCAAATGCCTCCATATAAATGGAATAATCCAAAAATGAGTCCCAGTTTTTTTTGGCAGATTTCAGAAGCATTTGGATTTAAACATAGCAATGCTCCAAAAACACCAGGTGCAGTCTGCTGACTGTTTTACATAAACTGATGAGAGGCCTTACGGTAAATAAGCACAACAAAGATATGATACCAACTAAGGTGGGTCATGCGTGGTTACTTAACGTGTCCCCTCCTTTAGATAATAAGTTAGATAATATAAAACTTCGTATCGTATATGGTGCTCACATGGTGCCCGCCCATCCATCCATCCATCCATTATCCATGGTTATCCATCCTGGGAATGGATCCAGCTGCGGCTCACACTCGTCAGAGTGCACCCTGGACATGTTGCCAGTGCGTCACAGGGCGAACACATAGAGAAACAATATGCCTAACCTGCATGTGCTTGGATGGTGGGAAAAAACTGGAAGCACGCATAGCAAGAGATAACATGCTCACTCCTCACAGAAAAGCTCAGCGGGCTCGCAGGTTTCCACAGCTTAAATGGTGCATTCAACTGACAAATAAACTTTAATATATAAGAAAAAAACATTCTTATATATTACACTGACAAAATAGTTCTGATATTCATTTTCATTGAACATCCATCAACAACACAATCCATGAGACGATATCAGCCACCATTACTCCTCACCAGAGTCTACTATTACTGCTCATGTCTTTACTGTAAACAAACTGAAAAAATGCCCTGATAAAGTCAAATTAGACTCTTCCTTGTGTAATACCAGCAGTCTTTCCAGAACTCCCAAACATGTGTTCCCAAACACATGTGGGTGCCTAGTGTCAAACAATGACTTCAGGGAATCTAGGCACAAAAACACCAATTTTTCACCTGTCCTGACACATCATTTTTTTTTTTTACCTCTTTCATAAAAAAGTCGGCTAACAAACACAGAAATGTTTGGAGTACGGTGTAAATTCCTCCGTCCGGGCTGCTGCTGTAGTTTCTCGGCAGCTCCTCGTAGCCTCACTGGGTTGCTGTTGACTGACTTCCACAAAACCTCCCGACAGGCAGCAATCCAGGCTGCATCGGACTCTACTCGATCCACCTCTCTGGCTGTATCTCTTCTCTGAACACCGTAACCTCGCCAGAGGAGAGCCAACGTTTTATATAGAGGGACAATTATTGGATGTTGAGAGATAACATCGAGGTGCTGTTTTACAGAGGTCACTTGGGAGAGGCGGGGGAGGTTCGTAAAGTAATATGAACGAGCAGTTTAGTCAGTTCCTAAAGCCAAACAAAACAAATCTCAGCTACACAGCCAACGACATAATCGGGAATATCTTTATCTTGTCTTCAATATTTTGACTATGTGGTGCTAAGTGGGCAGGGATTCCTCGGGGCTTTATGCATTCCATGATGAATATAAAAGAAATGTTGCACGGTACACTGTGCAATGCCCGGCCTTGGTGATCGTACCACATCAGACATCAGTGAGTGTTTTCAAGGGAAGGAACACGTTGTACTTCACTCTGCAGAGGAGCCCGGCTGGCTGCCTGCAGGGGGAAAAGAGCGGTGGGCTTTTGTTTACATCTGAAAGACTCTATAGACGTCAGAAAGCAACATTTTAACAATTAAGGGTCTTTATAAGACTATTTTGGAAAATGCCCCAAATAGATAGAGCTATAAAAAGACGAGGCTGTCACATCAGTGAATTTAAGTGAAGATCTTGCACTGCAAGTGCCACTGTCCATGCCAGAGAAAATGGTCACCGATGACAATTTGTGCTCCATTATAGGTGAGAAAAATAGGACAATGTAAATCCAGGAGCCACACAAAATCCCCCACGGGTTTAATGTTAAAAACATAGAATCAACCAATGTAAAATCAGTCGTTCTCCATCGGTCCTATCAAAAGGTTTAAAGCAAAATGGAGTACAACAACGAAGAAGCTCTAACTACCTGTCACACTGAAAGGGAGACGTGTTCTGTGGATGTTGCCCTGGTATACGATGGCCTACATGGCGTTTTTCAAGAATAAATAGGGCAGCCCACACAATCTCGCACACCGTTTATGAAACCGGTATCAGCGAGTCAGGAAGAAGGGCTGCCCACGTATTTGCAGCTAAAAAAACACAGCAGATGCATTTAAGTGAGTCACAGCTATTTCTTCACATGTTAGAGGATGGAGGAAGTAATGCGTGTTAATAGAATGTTAATACAGCTCTTATATGGATATTAGGTAGTAATTGGAGTGACCTAACAGGTGGTGAAGCAGCCCTAATATGGGCTGTAATTGCCACACACAAAGAAACTAAATCAGGGAGCTAATCAGGGCGGGTGTTGTGGTAAAGTCTGATATTAAGTTGAGTAACAGTAAGGCCAATGTGGCATTATCTCTGTTGAATGGACTTGTATTACTGAGCAGTGCAAATCCATGTAAAAGCCGGATATTTCTCTATAAATGTTCAACCACATCTGCGGGCAACTTGTTTTTATGCAACTATATGCAAAACAAATTATTCAAACCCACCATAGCTCATGTTGTGGCCACCAGCTGTGAACCTTTGTTAGCGACGTGCTTATTTAAACACCCAGCAGCTATAGAGAAAAATAATCATTTCTATGGAGTCCTATACTGCAAATCCAACATAGCCGAGCACTGCTGCGGGCTGGAAAACCAAAAACCATTCGCTTAGAGACTACATGAGGCTCCACAGACAGTTGCTTTCCACAACGTGGTCTTGATTTTGATGTAGATAAGAAACACAGTACAAACGCTGCCTCCTTCAGAGGATGTGACAGGGCCAAGAAAAGTTGGTTGCATGCTCTCATTCTGGGCTTTTGAATGCAGAGAGAGAGAGAGAGAGAGAGAGAGAAGCAGCGGAGAGGGGCCCGTAGTTGCCATGGTAATCTCTCCCTCGTCCCTTCCATCGTGACTCGAAGCTCCTAAAGACTGAGGATGAGTTAGCACGACGACGGAAAATTAAGATTTAGAGGAACCTCTGACTACGAGCTTTGACACATCATTACCAAAACAACCACCTGGCCGTCATCCTCTTCATCACCACAAACATCAACCTGTTTTTTGAGGCGAGGAGGAGGAAGGGGGTGAAGGAGGGGAGTCATATTATCCTATAATCTTCTTCTAGCGTGAGATTAACTGTAGTTCATCTCACACCGAGTCGGTGTCACGGCTCAATCTTTGTCGTGCAACCATCAGAGTCACAGATGAGAGGCGGAGAGCCGGCTGAACAGCAGGGCGATTAGGTTGCAGACATCCAAGACACAAATATTTAATCAACAAGTCAATCCGTCACCTAAGCCTCGCCGTGCAGTACGAGCCCTCTCTGTTTCCAGAGAGTGATTCTGTAGGCAAGCCAGTTTATGCTGCTGGTTGGTTAACGAACAAATGAAGTGCGACAGAGACTCCCACACTGTGATCACAGACGCCGGCCCAATGGAATGCAATACAATCAATATCTGCTGCACAGGTACAAAATAGATCCAGAACACTGATACAAATATCCTAAAACCCAAGATAGTGTCATTAAATAGATTATTTCATTGGACAAACATTAAAAAGATGCAAGTTTATAACCACATACGAAAAGGAAGATGTTCATGCTGAAAACTGTTAAATTAGAAAATGTGTTCAAGAATGAACTTCAATTCTAATTACTTCAGCTCAATATAAAACACATACATTTATCCTCCACACAAACAACTTGGTGGGTGTACAAAAAATACTTCATCTCATTAGAGAACTCCTCCACAGATAATGTGTTTGTATCTGATGAGTAGTGCTTTATTCTATAAAAAAAATGGTCCAAAGTATTTCCTAAAGCCCAAAGGGACTCGTTTGGTCCAACTAACATCCATTATTTAGTCAACTATCAAAATGTAGCTGATGAGATTTATACACCAACTCACGATGATTTACTCTCATGATTAATCTGCCATGTATTGTCTGGATTACATCGCCAAAAGAAACATAATCGCAGGATTGCTTTAAAAAACAAACATTTGACGTTTCAGGACTACATGTATTATGTTGTCAAACCTTCCCCCACACACGCACACACACACACACACACACACACACACACACACACACACACACGCGCGCGCGCACACTAGTGTACTCTGACCTGTTGGGCCCGATCACTGGACAGCCTCGTTTAGCCACGGACGCACGTAGGCTACACTCTCCCTTTCTCTCTCTCTCAGCCCCCCCCCCCCCCCCACCCCCCCCCCCCCCCCCCCCCCCCCCCCCCCCCCCCCCACACACACACACACGCACGGCCCTTTAATCGACTTGATTACGTTGATCGCCTAGCCGATTAAAAGCTGCCCGGATCGATCTCCGACGTGGTGCTGAGGCGCGATCCCCGTCGCAGCCGCGTACCTGTGTCCGTGCGCGCTGCGCCGCTCCGCTGCCTCCTCTATGGCGCACGGCGCTCCGCGTCTCGGCGAGGAAACATGCCGTCAGCATCGCACTGCACAAACGCTCCACTCGGACCCCCGCACGGGTTTTCGGCCGCAGGTCTGAGGTAGATGAGACGCCGGGAGTCATTCCGGGGAGCCTCGGCCGGCCGGCTGCTGTGTGAGTCTGCGCTCGCCAGCGGGAGCACGCGCAATTTATCTCGTGCCCGCGCCTGGGATGTTTCAGCCCCCAGGGGTTCCCGGACCTTTTCAATGTCAAGGACCGGAATATAAAGCAGGCGAGAGAGTATATCCCCCCCTTCCCTCCCTACACCCCCACCTTTTTTTTGATAATGTTCACCAGCCCAAGGAGCCCCATCTGGCAGGTTGTGTGGTGTTAGGTAATGGATTACATAACGCAGTGTAGGCCGGGTGGTAACAGTGAGGGGAGTGGAACCTGGTGGGCAAATCTCTTCCTCCTAATACATCATCTTATTGTGCCTGTCTGCTCAAGGAGATGATGTGAGACAACTGGGAGCTTGTGCTGACATGTTTGACTCCTTCATACAAAAGGAGTAATTCATTTGGCCCAGTCAACCAGACAAGGGTTTTGTTTATGTCATTAACCAAGCAAATTGGTAGCTTCGTAAAGCATTAGTTCAACATTTACTCAAGCACTTTAGGCAATATGCAATTGGATGTCATTTCACGTTGTGTTAATACTTTGCAGAGCTGTAAGATATAGCTAGTGATAGCTTAACATAAAGACTAGCTTCACCATTAAACCAATAAAACCATTAAAAAAACAGCCGGCCACAGTTTCTTCCAAACGTCCCAGCGAGTTCCAGCAACCTCACAGTATTGAGGTGCGTTGAGCTGTCATCATCTCATTGAAATAGGCACATTTAATCTATTATTTATTTATTTGATGACAAAGAAGCTAGGAATCACTTGTTTTACTTAAAGCATGCAATATAATGTTTAGTTAAAAATGTGTACAAACAATATTAATTTCCAAATTGCATAAATAATCTAGCAACTACGGAACAATAGGCCTTTAGGAGGTTTGTGTATTTGAAGAGTTGATTAACTGCAGTCTTCAGGTGTGTGCAGATGGCTCCTCGTGTGTTTGTTTCCCGGCCTGCCGGAGGGAATTTGTACAAAAGCACAAAGGTCACTCTGACGGCCCTCCTCCTCTTTCAAGTCATTTGTTTTCCTTGTTCCAGCTGCGATGCAACACAATTCATTGCTTAACTCATGGGTGGAGACTCGCTAAAGTTACGCACTTCTGTGTGTCCAATCCCCCCCTGCACACACACAAACATACTTCCTCCCTCCTACAACTGCACAACACCTACACCCCGTGTCCAGCACATGAACTACACCTTCTTCACAGAGCGGATCAGAGGAGCGTCAAAGGAAAAAGTAAAGCACAAGAAAAATCAAATCTCTTTTGATTTTTTTATTATATCAAAATACAAAAATTTGAGAGGAAAATTTCATATGGGACTAAGCATTTGAAATGATATGGTTACATGAATACACCACTGCTTTCATATTCTCATAGACATGCCATATACGGATCCTAGATCATGTGCCAGACCCACGTCTACGTCATGATGAGCCAATAGGAGGGAGCCTGTGCATTTTTCTCCTATAAAGGCTTTTGATGGCAACTGTCACTACATATCCAGGCCAGTTGGTTACATGCCAGTGTTTTTACATTATAGTTCGTTTAGGTTTCGGTTCACACTGTAAAGCAACGGGATCTATGGCAGTTGAACATAAAGCAACGAGATCCATGGCAGTTGAACATGAAGAGTGACTAAGACATGATCTCGGACGATACAGATAATTCATTGGACAGCAGTGGCAAACGAGAAAGTAATACAAATATTATACATAAGGCTTTGGTACAGCACCATACAGAATGAGTTAATTGCTTACAAAAAATTAAGTGAAGCATAAGACCTGATGCAGTGAAACAACAGAATGACGAAGTGTGAAAATTGACAGAAAAAAAAGAAACAGGTTATCAATTTAAAAAATAGAAAAAAAGAAATATGTTGAAATATTTACATATGAACATTGTAGACAACTTAACAAATACCAAGGAGAAAAATAAAGCAAAAAAAGAAAAACGTATGATACAGAATGTAAACAGGTGATGTTACAGCACAGAGTTCAGTGGATGAAAATGAAAGGAAATGTAGTAAATTTTCTTCCTTTTTAAGCACTACTTGGTTTGCTTGAGTATGAGCATTAGCTAAAAACAGTCAACAATGTAGTGCTTATTGTAGCCTACGATAATAATACATTCTAGTTTCTCAGTGCTGGAACACATGAAAAAACAGAGAACATAGAAAATTCTACATGTTTCTATTTTCCGTCCAATAACAACCAGCTCGAATGTCCATGAATGATTGCTAAATAGGCGTTTTTTCTTTTCTTTTTTTGTGTTGTCACTACATGCAAGATTAATACGATAAAAAAATCAAATCAGTTCTAAGTATCATCCTACCAGCACCTACTGATGCACTAAAAGCTGTAATCAGAAAATTTGAAAAAGAAATATAAGAAAAAAAAAAATGAGCAAACAGTACGTCCAAAGCAGCCCTCTTAAACACTGTACATGTTTCTGTTAAATATGCAAAAGAAGCCCGGAAGACAACGTCCATTCATTCGAACTCATGGAGAGGGTGTATGAGCGTTCATAATACCTTTCTACCAGGAGGATCAGCAATAAATACAAATGTGGTCTGATAACTGCTCATGGCCAAACTGTACAGTACTAGTAGGGATTCTACCGTCGAAAAGGGTGGTGAGGTGACGTGAGGCGGTCGCGCCCCGGCATTTGTGTGCTTGAAAAACAGTGCTGTTAACCAAAGATGGCAGACCTACAGGAAGTGTGTAGACGAATTCCCACCGTGACCTGACAATGCTCTCGGATTCCCTCCCATGTGTCCTGTGGTTGTGTCCTGCTCTAAACCAGTTTAAGCTCCTCCTTTTAGGTCGGTTTAATATTCTTAATATCATCACAAATATGCTTTAGAGAGGGTACCTTGGAAGCACGGACAGACATTGCAAACACACTATAGAAAACAGGTCATCTCGAGCTCATTTGGATGTCACAGATGTGGATTATTTGAGGGTATACTATTTTTCCAGTATTTTCTATCACTGTCATCACATCATGGTACTGTTATAAGGACCTATAGTGTCTACCGGAGCTAGTTTAGTTGCTCAAACACACAGGGTCGAAAGAGTTGCTTATTGAAACAGAAATCAAACAAAAAAAAAATCTTCAGACCTCTATTCTACAGCACCACCAAGTTAAACATAGCACCAAGTCGTAATGTTGAAAGCAACTATGCCCTAAACACACTTTTCTTCATCAAACTAATGTAAACACAACTTCCTCCACAGCACGTATTGTATATCGACTATAGCATGTCTGTGACTCTTAGAAAAAAGGTTTCCTTCAGGGTATCGTATTTGCTTTGGACACCTGAAGGCGAACAATCTGGAGTGAACCTACATGTGTGCTCATGAACGGGCAAAATACAGTATTACGTTGTTTCCAGGAATATTATTATAGAGAGAGCAACACACTTCTGCTTCTAAAGCTTTTTCCAATGGGCATTCACGTACTATACATCAGAGAAAATACTACTTAACTTGTGCAGCCAGCGGGCTATGGCAATAATACATTGTACGGTAACATTAAGGTTTCTTCTCTTCTCAGATAAAATAATGTCTGCTAAAGTATGACAAATGAGGCACCTTAAAATGTTTTAGAAACATTATCCACAAAAAACCGTACTGTAAGCAAATACTTTTATATAATCTAATTTCTCGTTCCTTGGGATCCTCCCCTGTCTTTTTACACATCTTCATACAAGAACGTCTTCCTGTAAAACATGGTTTGATTCATCTTTACAAATACAATACATACCATGTAGAGTACATAACAAATATAGATTTTTTTTTTTACTCGTATCTTACATGAAACCAACTTTCTAAAGTAGAATATGCACTTTGACGCTCACTTTCAGGCAATCATACATCACTCTCACTTGTCAAAAGAGATTTCAGTAAGCAGACATTGAGTCGATTCATTCAAGGGAAATATTTGCCAGGAAAACCTCGGATTTGTTTGAAGCGGATGGAAATATATCTGATTTGTCTTTGAGGGCTTGATTGAAATAGCATTAGCAGTCAAAGGGAAAAGGTGTTTTTTTGGGAGCCGTCAGAAGAAAGGGAGCTTGTCTGTTATTACCGCATACAGGAACAACACCGAGAAGTTAAAACAATTTGGACTCATGGTGCCAACTGGTCATCTTACCAATCGCAGCTGCACTATAAGCAAAGTAATGGGTCATTCAATGTACTGCGACATCGGGACATTCATTTCCTGTACAGCAAAACATACATTCATTATCGGTTAGTGTCGAAAAATCAACGAAAATACAGAGAAGTAGCTAGCAAGCAATATACAGTTGTTAAAGATAAACAGTCGGGGTGGCCATTGTTTGGATATGTCCCATTGCTTGTCAACAGCTTTATGAAGCAATCACATTCTCCTCAAACAGCTGTTGTTAAACATTAACATCTGTACTGGGTTGTTCTTTCCGCATGACGACTCATGCACAGTACTTTTCCACTGAAGTCATTCATTGGATTTATTTGCCTTCTTTCAACTAAACTACTCAATTTTTTGTATTTTATTGGAATTCAGGTTCAGTCCTGTTACTTGGATATACACAGTTGTCGCAGGTTGACATTTCAAATATAAATAAGAAGAAAAGCAAGAGTTATGCATCCTCTGTAGCATTTTCTCTCATGTGTCCTTGGCAGAAAAAGTAAAAACGCATAATATTGGAGTCCCTCACTCAAGCCCAGCCAGAAGAGACAAATATGAGAAGGCGAAGAAAAAGGCAATTTATGTTTGTAAAAATAAGAGAAAAGGCAAAAAAAGGCACCTCAAGATGTGCCGCATTTCACAAATGATTCCTTGATAATGAAATACATACGACAGTACACTTGACAAATCATCACCCTATTCTTCTGATCATACAAGTCCAATCTCTGGTGACCGTGGAAGTCCCAAATTATTTTGGGAGCACTCGTGAAATGATCCTCTTATGATGCTCTAAGGAGAAGTGTAAACACACTGAGCCTTAAAGCACTAGACAGTTCTCTAATGGTTGCCATTGGATCATTGGTGAAAATAAACACAAAATGCCAGCTACTACTGAGAGTAAAAAGCTTCATA